GGGGGCTACCACAGAGCTTCAGCAGGGTTCTGCAAGCGATGGGTCTGGAAGGACCACGGCAGACAGTAATAGAGGATGGCAGATGCTCTCTTTCAGCTGTGCACATACACACAGATGTGATCAATTGCATGCACACACAGAAAACAAGTGCCCTTTGCAAATGAAATTTTAAGGTGGTTTTTATGTGATGCACCATTTAGATATAGAAATGAGCTCAGAGGGGAGTGCTAACACATCTAAACTTAAGGCCAAAACATTCTAGCCTGAAATAAACAGTTTGAGGATTTTTAACATTCTTGAGGCATTATCTACGTAGGCAGTTGTGATTTTTTTCAATTGTGTTGATGTTTCTTGATTCATACAAAATGTAAACTAGGTCCCAGGACAAGGGACTTCTCTTCCCACCTTCCCCTGTCTTTCTATCCTGTCCCGACTGCATGAGTCCTCAGAAGCAGAGGCCATGCCTCAGTCATTACTGCTTCCTAAGCATGTGGGGCTTGCTACAAAAGCGGTGCTGGTGAGAAGGAAAACAGGCAAGGTCTGAAGAATCCCACCACACACTTTCAACCTGGGCACGCAAAGGAAAACGGGAGCACGCCGCAGGTGGTGCTGCCTCGGCAGTAGGTGGTCAAGAACTGCTTTCTTACCTGAGCCTGTCTCTGCATTTCACCCTTAAGATCATCAAAATATGTGCTTTCTCCTTCTCCGCCATCGTACTCTGCGTCAAACAGCTCCTTCAGCTTTCTCTTCTTATTCAGATGTTTTTTCTTGGCACTTTCCTCTTCGGTTGGGTCAGTTTCTTCCTTAACGTCTTCTTCTGTGTCTTCAATCTTAAATTTCCAGAATAAAAAGTATTGAGAAGCTTATGGAGAACTTTCTTTAAACAAACGAAGCAGATTTTTACAGTGTTTGAGTGTAAAGATTCTTTGTTATGATTATCATGAACAAAGAGACTTTGGTACTACACCACATCTTCATTTGGCTGGGTGTGGCAACATGCATGAAGCAAGTGTCTCCTAGCTAGATGTTCCAAGATACTGTTCAAAGTACTATCAGGAAGAATAAGGAATTTTTTATGGTGCTTTTAAATCTCATCATTGAATGTTGGCAAATAAAAAGCATGAACTTGACAAATGACTAAAGGAGGTAAGAGGGAGGGAGGGTAGGTAGGTAACATCCATAAGCTGTACAAATGAACCGTTTGTTCATCTGCTGCCACTCTTAAAGAAATTATCTGTCCGTTTTACTGGGACGTCAAGAGCTCCATCTCCTAAAGCAGATGTCTCTCAGGATCAACCTGGCAAAGCTACATCAAAGCCATACCTGAGTATCCGAGTCTGGTTTTCCCTTGTGCACATCCCCTGTTTCAAGGTCTTCAAAGTCCCCATAGAGTTCCTCTGAAAAAGAGCATTTACATGTCTGATCTGTGACACTAGCACTGCCCAGCCTGGCCGACCCTGTGCTCTGCATTCCAAACTTTATCTCTGTTGTTTCCATCACTATATATGCCAAGAGTTCTAAACTTACATGGCTTTCAAAAAAAAAAAACCAACATTTCACTATTTTCTGAGGAAAAGTAAATGAACCCAAGACTTGAAACCTCACCATCTTTAATGTTTAAGTAATGGACACTGTATAAAAGACACAAGAGCAGCCTTGAGGGTCAACTCCAAAGCAACATTTCAAAGAATAAGTGAAAAGGCACAGCCTGACAGCAGCCACGTAAAGTGTCTGACAGAAGCCAACACAGCACATTGTATACTGTGCCTTGGGGAAAGCTAAGACTATAAGTATAGAACCTGGAACAAAATTAGGGCTCAAAGCAATGCTGAGCTCGTAGGAAGAGTTCATTAACTCATCTACTTGTTCATTGTTAGAGCTCTGGGTTCAGTTACAGGCTGTCTTCTTTAAAACAGACAAGTTAAGAATGGCTTTGGGATGGCAACACTTACTGTAATTAAGATATATTCATAACAGATAGGAAGCTCATATTTATAATAAAAACTATAAAATTAAGTATATAACTAGAACTGTTAGAAATTTACACACTAAAAAAATAAAATATAACAGAGTTAGTGACACAACTCAGTAAGTAGAAGGGCCTGCTGCCAAGCCTGAGGACCTGAGATCAACTCCCAGGACCCAACTCTTGCGGGCTGTCTTCTGTCCTCCACACACATGTCAGCCAAGTAGAATTTTATTATGTCATGAGAGGGAATAAAAAGGTACATCATCAGACACTGCTTTCATAACAGCATTCTGTGACACTAGGTCCAGAGCATCTGAAATACTTTATTGGCCTTCAGGGGAACCCGGCAAACACATGGTACACATGCATACATGCAGGCAAAGTATCTACACAAGGAAAACTAAAAATACATTTACAAAAATTGTTAAAACCTAAACCCTAACCCAAAGCTCTTATACATAATACTCAATGCTGAATGAAAGCAATAGATACTAAGTCACTCTGCTTATGGGCACACACACAAAATGACCTTCAAGAAAAAAAAATTGGTAACTGTGAACTACAAAAGGCAATCCAAGAGTTATCTGAAAATCATGTGTGTGTGTGTCTGTGTGATACCAGGAATGAATTCAAGACCCCTATATATGTTAGATGAGTATTCTATTGCTGAGGTGTAGTCCAGGCCTTCTACATAACAGTGCTCTGTAACATGGACAAAATACAACACTGCTTAAGAGGTATGGTACTCAAATAACAAAAACAAAATCTTTCAAGCAAATTAACGCTACATTTAAGTATGATTCCTGACTAATTTTGTTAACTTGACACAAGCTAGAGTCATTTTAGAAAAGGGAAGGAACCTCAAGTGAGAAACTGTCCCACTAGATTTCCTGTAGGCAAGCATGTTGAGCATTTTCCGGATTGATGATTGTTGTGGAACAGATCCACTAACTGTGGCCCTACCACCTGTAGGCAAGTGGTCCTCAATGCTATAATAAAGAAGGCTGAGCAAGCTAGTAAGCAGCACTCCTCCATGGCCTCTGCATTTCGTCTCTCCAGGTCCCTGACTTCCCTTGATGATGGACTACAAGCTATAAGTTAAAATGAAACCTTTCTTCCCTAAGTTGTTTTTCGGTCATGGTATTTCATCCCAGCATGGGAACCCTAAGACAACAAGACTTCATACACACAGTCTTAAATGAGTAGGAGGAAAGACCTATAAATGTAAAAGGTCTTTTATGTATAGTAGAATTTTAGTATTATATGTACTTTCTAAAATTTCCTGCTATTGATATGTATTAATACTACATGTACTTTCTAAAATTTCCTACTATTGATATGTACCTTTCACTTTAAATTTTCCATGACTATTACTTTTACTAAAACAAACATGTTGAAGACAGCTCCCACCCCCATACATATAATATCTATTTATAACAAAACGTATAGGAGGTTTCTCACTTTCCTTTAAAGTCCCTATATAGCAAATAGGTCAGCCAAGGACAGAAAACAGGATATTATCTGTCAATTCCCCACAGCATTCACAACTGAAAATCTTCAACCTGACTATAAGACAGTAAAGAAAATATGAAGGGTATGAGAATGTCTGTTAGGAAAGTTCTTGTACTTGCAAGCTCAAAGACCTAAATTCTCTCCTTAGAATTCATGTAAACAAGAGCTAAGTGGGTTACAATTTCAATTAGGGAGGTGGATCCCTGGGTCTTGCTGGGCAACCAGCCTACCATACTCAGTTAGATAAGGGAAATAGGAGATCAGGCCAAAAATAAATAAATGGGTAGGCAGTGTCTAAGGAAGGAACAGCACTTGAGAAATGACAGCTAAGGTTGTCTGTCCCTTGCTCCCAGAGGCATGTGCACACTCAAACATATAAAGAAAATGTGCAGTCCTTACTTACCATCTTCTGCTAAGATCTTGGCGGCATCTTTATCATCTTCCCACTTCCCCGTCACAAAGCAATCTCTGATGCTGTTCATAACCTTACACAGAAAAACCAGCACTTAGTTTATTTACACAAAACAACTGTTTTTGAGAAATGATAGTGGACAACAATTTGCCTCTAAAAATTTCTCAGGACACTTCAAACTGGCTCTGCAATCCTAGCACATAACTATCATCCTAGCATTTGTTGAGGCAGGAGAATATTCAAATTCAGTCCGGACCACATAGTGAGCTCTTGGCCACCTTAGAATACACAGAGACTGTCTCAAAAATTTAGTAAGAAAGTAAGCACATACCTTTGTGAATACATTCATTCCACCTAAGTGTGTGAGATAATTCCTACAGAATAGCAGAAAAATATCTGCAAGTCATGTATAGAACGGACATGTACCTAGACTTTATAAACTGGTAAGAGACATGTTCTCAGAAAATATAAACAATTCATATAACTAAATGTCCAAACTTTTAAAATAGGCGAACAGTATGTATAGGTATATAGACAAATAGACAGCAAGCACCTGAAACAAAGCTTGACAACATTAGCTATCTGAGAAATGCAAATCAATATCACAATATAATATATTTCACACCTTCTTATGTAGCTAAAATAAAAATACAGACAAAAATAACTCTTGATGTAAATAAACTAAAACCCACAAATACTGCCTGGGAGTGAAAAATTACACAGCTTTTTTTTTTAAGAATGGAGAATATATGAGGAAAAAACTTGTTTTCTCTAATCTTATGAACAGTAACATACTTTTCTGATACCGTTTTATATATAACACTGAGATAAGTGAGATGAGCAATTACATGATTTTTCTAACTTTATTCCGTCAGATTCAACCATGGGCTAATTCTCTAGGAGAAACGTAGCTAAAGATATAAATAGATAAATGAACATGAAATTGAGGAGAGGCAGTGCAGAGTGGATATGATAAAAATGTGTGTGTGTGTGTGTGTGTGTGTACGCACATACACGAAATTATCAAAGAATAAATATTATATTAGGTCTCCAGCCACCTTTCCTGAGAAAATGACTTTTCCCCTTCCCCGTCCTTCTGCCAACCAGCAGCCATCTGCAAGAGAAGAAGCCTATTTCTGACCTGAGCCCTCTTCACTTGAATTGCCTTGGCCTGGTAAGTCTATTCTGCCCTTTCAGTCTGTGCAGACCAGTTCTATGTAACCTACCACAAGTCATTTGGGAAGAGGGAGCATCAATTAAGAAAATGCCCCTGCTGGATCAATCTATGGGCAAGCCATTTTCTGGACTTGGGAGGGCCAACTCACTGTGGCAGTGCCTCCCCTGGCTGGTGGTCTTGGGCACTATTAGAAAGAACGCTGAGCAAGCCTAGGGTCTCAAGCCACGAGACAGCATCCTCCTCAGCCTCTGCATCGGTTCCTGCTTCCATGTTCCTGCCTTGAGTTCTCGCCCTGACCTCTCTGGATGATGAACTATGAAGTTCGAGGAGAAACAAATCCTTCTTCCCCAAGTAGCTTTTGATCATGTGTTTTACCCCAGCAGTAGAAACCCTGGTTAAGACACCACCACCCTTGCTCTCCTGTCATCTGCAAACGCAAAGGCTAGCTCTAGACCAAAGATCCACAAATCGTCATTGTTACTGAGACACCACTGCTGGGTAAGGCACTTCCTCCCTCTCCTATTCTCAGTATTCCTTCCCAAAATGGTTACCATTTCCACACCCACAAGTCTAGCTCCAGATCCATGGCCTTTGAACCTGCTTTCTTCAAGAACCACCTTTGACTGGTAAAACACTCCTTTCCTCTCCAATCTTGCCATCTCTGCACCCACAAGTCTAGCTCTAGACCATGGGTTGGGAGTCATCTTTCCCTGGTCCAATTACATAGTTCATTTACTAATTTTCTGTGACCGAACTCAGGTCATACACCTGTACTGGCCAGATTTTCACTTTCAGACATACATCCAAAGAAAGAAGTCCACATGCCCAGGTCAAATAATCAAAACAAAAAAATATATCAATGACCATAACATCATGTTTCCCATCAAACTCAAGTCTTAGAGAAGTGTTCTCTATTAAGAACTACCTACGTGAGCCCCAGCACACAATTTAAAAGCATAAACATATACTTTATCAAAGAATTCAAGGAATGTAAAGAAGGCATGAACAATCACTTCATTAAACTCCATGAGGTAACACTAAACACCTGAGTGATGTCCAAGAAAAACAAATACATAGATGAATGAAATGAAGATAATTCACAATTTGAAAGCTGACTTCAATAAAGAGAAACACTGAAGTGAAAACAAGCTGAAATGAAGATGGAATTTAAAAACCTCAATATCCTGATGAGCGAACTGCAGGGAAAGCCTGGCAAGTAGAAGGAATCAGGCAAAATCAGAGTGTCCCGCCTGGAAGGTCAAGCAGAGGGTCTGGATGGAAGAAGCAAAGAAAATGAAATAATACTGAAGCACAGGAAAGGAGCATTCAGGGAATGTGGGGCACGATCAAAAGATCAACTCTTCCAATTATAGGCATAACTGAGGGAAAGAATCCCAGGTCAATGGTATAGACCAGCTCTTCGACAAGATCATAGAAGCAAACCTTCCCCTAAATTAAGGAAAGACACACCCATACAGATACAGGAAGCACCGAACAAGGTCAGAAAAGAAATACCCCACAGCATATTATAGTCAAAACACTAAGGACACAGAAAAAATAAAAAACATTATTAGAAGCTGCAAGAGAAAAAATACAAATCACATATACAGGAAATTTTTTCAGAGCATTACCTTACTTCCCAGGAATGATTTCTTAGAAATGACTTCTCATTTCTTGGGTAAAACACTCTAAGTCCTAAAGCCACAACTACCAACTAAGACTACCACACTCAGCAAACTATCTGCTATAGCTGAGAAAGAAAAAAATTTTTCCATACAACCTAAAAAATTTCATTTCCAACTACAACAAAATGCTCAACAGAATACTGGATGCAATACTCCAAACTGAAGAGAGGAACAAACACAGCCAAGAGACTCAGGAAGAAAACAAAGCTAAAATTTAATGAAATGCAAAGTACAACGAACAATACAAATCAGCAAGGAAAAAAGCAACAAATTGACAGCAAGCTATATACACTTTTTTAATAACTCTATTCAATTTCTCCAACCAAGGCACAGGTTAGCTGAATGCATTAAGAAACCTTCAATCCCAGCACTTGGGAGGCACAGTTAGGCAGATCTCAGTGAGTTCAAGGCCAGCCTGGTCTTTAAAGAGAGTTAAGTTCCAGGACAGCCAGGACTGTTACACAGTAAAACCTGTCTTGAAAAAACGAACCAACCAAACAAACAAACAAAAAAGAAGCAAAATCGAGGGGGCTGGAGAAATGGTTCATCAATTAAGAGGCTACTCCTCTAGAGGACCCGGATTCAATTCTCAGCACCCACATGGCAGCTCACAGCTGTCTCTACCTCTGACACCCTCACTCAGACATGCAGGCAGGCAAAACATTAATGCACATAAAATAAAGTTAAAAAAAAAGAAACAAAATCTATTTATCATCTACAAGAAACTCATCTTAGCTTTAAAGACACCACCTTGAAGTGAAAGGATGGAAAAAAGTTTTTCAAGAAAATGGGATCAAGAAGCAAATAGGCATGGCCATTCTAATACCTGACAAAATACAAGTCAAACTAAAACTATTCGGAATAGACAAAGAATACTTCATTCTAATCAAAGGATCAATTATTCAGGAAAACATCACATGCACAAAACTCTGCTGCACCCAATTTGGCTCAACAGCCAAAGTAACAAGCATTGATTAGTCTTCCACAGAACCTGGGTTCGATTCCCATGGGATCTGATATCTGCTCCACAAGCAAAACACACACACACACACACACACACACACAAACAAAACATCCATTCACATAATTTTTTTAAGTCTTAAAGGAAAAGAGAAAACACAATAATGACACAGATTAACACAAACCTAATTACTGTAGGTGATTTCAACACCCCACTTTCTCTAATAGACAAAATATAAAAGAAACCTCAGAATTAAATGACATCAAACAAATCTAACAGATATCTACAGAATGTTCCACCCACATACCAAACACATTCTACCCAGCATTAAGTCAGTAAATAAAATCAACAGACCACATACTTGGTCACAAAACAAACCTTAACAAATATATAAAAACTGAAGTTAACTCCATGTATCCTCTCCAATATCATACAATAAAAGTTGATAGCAAACAAAACTCCAGTAAATGTATAAATTCTAAATTCATGGAGATTAAACAATTCATCACTGAATGATGGATAGGTTAAAGAAGAAATCAAGAAAGAAACAAAAACATTCATGGAATGAAATGAAAATGCAACAACACAAAACCTCTGGGACACATTAAAAGCAGTTCTAAGAGGAAAGTTTAGAGCCCTGAGGGCCCATTATGTCAGAAAGAGCACAAATAAATGACTTAATGATATAATGATAATGAAAAACAAACCAAACCCAAACCCAGCAGATGGCAGGCAAGAAATAATAAAAATCAAAGTAGTAATTAGTGAAATGGAAACAAACAAACAAAAAAAACACAACACAAAGGATCAATGGCTCTAAGTCTGGCTCTCTGAAAAAAGCAAGGACAACAGATTCTTGGTCCAACTAACCAAAGGAAAGAAAAAGGAGACCCAAACTAACAAAATTAGAGATAAACAGAGAAACATTACAACAGATAACAAACAAATTTAGAATATTCTAAGGGAATATTATAAAAATCTGTACTGTTCAGTTGCAAAACTTGAGAGAAATAGATGACTTTCTTGATCCATCCAAAGGATTAAAGTTAAACCAGAGGAGGAAAACAACTTAAACAAACCCATGACCAACAAGGAGACAGAAGGATAATAAGATTCCTGACTGAAAAAAGTCCCAGCCCAGATGATTCAGGCAAAATTCTACTAGAATTTCAAAGAAAAATTATAACCAGTTCTTACTTAGCAATCTTAAATTCTTCAAAACCAGAAACAGAACAATCACTCCCAGGCTCATTCTAAGATGCCAGCAGTATTACTCTAGTATTAAAACAAGGCAAACGCTAGATGGTGGTGGTGCATGCCTTTAATTCCAGCACTCAAGAGGCCAGCCTGGTTTACAAAGCAAGTTCCAGGATAGATAGCCAGCGATGTTACACAGAGAAACCCTTCTCAAACAAACAAAGCAAAAAAAAAAAAAAAAAAAAAAAAAAAACAGACAAAGACAACAAAACTACAGACCAATATCCCTGATAAACATAGATGCAAAAATCCTCAATAAAATACTAGTAAAACAATTAAAGGCCCGTATGAAGAAGATCATCTACCATGATCCAGTAAGTTGGCTTTATCCCAGAAATGCAGGTATGGTTCAACATGCATTAAGTCAATAAATAAAATCATATAAAGGGACTTAAAGACAAAAATCACATGGTCATTAATAGATGCAGAAAAGGCCTATGGTAAAATCCAGCATGTTTTCATGATAAAAGTCCTAGAGAGTAGGACAGAGGGACACATCTCAACAAAATAAAGGTCATATAAAACAAACCCACAGCCAACACTATCCTAAGGGGAGAAAAATTCGAAGCAATTCTATTAAAATCAGGAATGAGACAGAGCTGCCTGTTCAGTTGGAACCCCTGTTGGCCCCTGCACGGAGCTGGGAAACCCCATCTGCCCTATTTCCCCCAACCCACCTGTACTGAAAAAAACCTCTGAACAAAGGAACATCACCAAACACTCTAATGCAACCTGCCTTTCTGATACAGTCAGCCCAGTCAAGTGGCCGCTTTTGACCATACTTGGGCATAGTCCTAGCTCCTGGTTGGCACCCCTCGCCTAAGGTCTATAAAACCTCCCTGGCCTAGGCTGAGTGCCACTTCTCTGGCCCCATTCTTTGGGACCACCCAATAAAGCTGTATTTATCTGTTCTCAATCTAGCCTGCTCTGGCCTTTTGCTTCTGCAGAAACCTATCACTACCCACTATCCCCACTCCTAGCACTAGCCAGAGCAGTAAAGAGGAGGAAATTAAAGGGTAAATTTGAAAAAGAAGTCAAAAGATCCTTATTTGCAAATGACATGAGATCCCAAATATTCCACCAGAAAACTTCTAGAAACAGTCAGCAATTTCAGCAAAGTGGCAGAGTTAAAAAAAAAAATCAGAAGTCTGTCTATATACCAACAACAAATACACTGACAAAGACATGGTCACACTCCTATTGCCATAGCATCACAGGCAATAAAATATCTTGTAATAAATAAACCTAACCAAGGAGACAAAAGACCTCAACAATGAAAACTTCAAATCTCTGAAGAAAGAGACTAGAAAGTGAAAAGACATCACATGTTCATGAATGGGTTGAATTAATATTGTGAAAATGGACATCCTACCAAAGGCTATTTACAGATTCAATGAAACTTCAAAGAAAATAAATATTCACAGCATTCTTCACAGAACTAGATACAAAGTGTTAAAATTCATATGGAAGCAAAGAGGATCCCAGAGAGACAAAGCAACCCTGAGCTTAAAAAAAAAAGGGGAGGGGGGGGGGCAGCAATGCTTTCACACCAGTAGCTGAAACACATGTAGAGTCCAGTTAAAATCAGCAGCTGTTACTGCTTCTGTGCCAGAAACACTGACATGGTAAAACAAGAAGCCAGTGACATATATGTAATACTGAATCAGAACATGTTCTTTAATTACTTCACAGCACTGACTGTGTGTGAGGGACGTGAGGGGTTGTGGGGACTGGGTGTCCAAAGGCTAGGTGAGCACTCTGCCACTTGAATACTTCCAGCCCCAATTCTTCCGAAAGCAAACAGACACTCAGCATTACCTCCTCTAAATCCCAATCGTGAGGAGCCTCCACAAGAAACCTCGAGCAGTCCAGAGAGTCAGCCTTGTGCTTACACTCTCTATCCGGCTGGCTGACACGGAACAGCCCTCCAAGCTCTTCTACGGTGTCTCCATCTTCATCTTCATTATCCTCTGTCACTAAAGAGACCACCAGAAAAGAAAGGTGAAAATAAGACTTCAATCCTAGAAGACTCCTTGCCCTGAACTAGTTAAACCATGTATCTTAGAATTCAAGGAACTGTGGTTCCTGTTCATTATAGACATGCTGTGTCCCTGGGCCACCCACCCACAAAGAGCCAAAAGGCCAAAAAGCTACCACTTAATGTGTCTGAAGACTTATCCTCTTTCAAAGCAGCAGCAAGAGAACTGAGGAATGAAATATTGGAGGTTGGAGAAGGGAAGGCATTTAAAGGAAAAGATCTTACAGAAGATCTTCTATGCAGAGTTCCCTTAGAACTTCCTGTCACTAAAAATCTGGAGGCAAAATCTAAATGAAAATCAAATTTTTATCATGGGCAACTTATTTCTGCATTCTTCCAAAAAGAACTGATAAATAAGTTTAATAAACTATAAATATTAATGAACAAGAGCAAAGAGAACACAGGGCTCTCTCTCTCACAAGGGGGGAGGCAACTTTCATAGGCAGAAATATGTTCCTAACGTTAAATTTAACAAAACAAATCTCATGAAGAACTTTATAAACTGATATAATGGACAATATTCTCATTAAAACTTTCATGACAACTGAGGAATACGTTATAAGACCAATTTATGGCTGGGTAGTGGCACTTGGGAGGCAGAGGTAGGAGGATCTCAATGAGTTCAAAAAGACAGTTCAAAAACTACATAGCAAGTTCCAGGGCACCCAGGGCTCACAGAGAGACCCTATCTTGAAAAACAACAACAGCAAAAGAACAATTTATGGTCCTTGTGACATTATTATAAACTTCTGCCAAGACCAGCAAGAGGCTCAGCAGGTAAGGATGCTTGACATGCAAGTCTGGTGACTGAGGAAATCCATAAAAGGGTAGAGAGAGAGAACCAACTCCAGACATTTGTCCTCTAACCTCCGTACATATCCTTGGCATCAGTACCCCGCACATAATAAATGTACACACACACGGAATAAGTAAGTTTAAAATCTGTTTGTAAAATGTCTAGGAAATATATAAAAGCTGATAGCCAGAAATAATGGGTGTCAAAAGTATAATCCCAATCTTTTTGTCAATCTCATTTCTTTTTCAGAAAATAATCTAAGAACCTAAAACATGTTGAAACCTGAACAGAGTTCTTTACCTGTCCCATAAATCAGCTTTCGAAGATTTGGAGCTGCTTGCTGCTGCCTCAAAAAGGCCTCTGCTGCCTTCCGGGAAAGGTCTTCCTTCCACTTGAGGGCACCTAAAAGACCAACACCCAGTTACACCTGCCCACTGGCTTCTGCCTCAAACTCCAAAGTTTACTCATCCTCAGCCAAGATCAATGAAGTAGTTAACAAATTCCAAGAGCAGACTCAAAAATGTAAACATCCTATTGATAACAATAGTTTTGAGGATGCCTGGCATTTCTGTGGAGTATTTACCTGACGTTTCCATGGAGCTGCTATTCTCTTCCTTGTGATCTTCTTCCTCTTTGAGTAAGTTTTCAATGTCACTGGTCTCATCAACCACATTCTCTGACTCAAGTTTCTGCCCACTGGCCCCCTGAGGACTTGCGAGCCTTCCCCTGCCAGCCCCTCTGTGTTCTGAGTCTCCCTCCTCTGAACTGAGCTCACAGTCTTCAGACTCATCTTCAGATGGAAACGCCTCTTCGGCGGTACAGTGACCAGAATCAGAGGTGGTAAGGGCTGCTTTTCTCACTAGGGAAAGCTTCTCTGCATCCATACGGTCCTTCCACTGATGAGCTGCTGACAGTCTTGCCCCACTATCTGTCTCTCCTGCAGCAGACTCGCCATCTTCACTGCTTTCGTCTGCCTCCTCTGCCTCCTCCTCTTCCCCAGAGCTCCTCTCAAGATTATCATCGCTATCAGCAAACGCGGGCAAGTCCGCCTCACTGTCTTCTTCCTGCTCCTCAAGCTTGGGTCGTTTGCTTCCCCTAACAGCCATGTATTTACAGCTGGTGTTTTTAGCGCCTTCCCCTTCCTCCTCGGCTTCATCATCACTAGAGTCATTTTCCACTCTGTCATCGTCAGACATGTCTTCCTCGTCATCACTGTCTTCCTCTGCAGACTCCTCCTCTGTGTCTTCAAAGATGGCCTTCCGACGCACTCGACCAGTGTGCACGTCCACTTGCTTCTCCTCTTTTGGCATCAACAGCCTGTATTTCAAATAAATAAAAACTAACTCAAACTGTACAGGGTTAGCTATTCTAGAAACGTCAACCCACTATGCAAAGAAATGGGAGGCTGAGGCAGAAGGGTTCAAGATTCTAGCCTGCCTGAGCTCATAGTAAGGTAAGATTACATGGGCAACACCCTGTGCCCAAATAGAAATTTAAAGAAAAATGGATTGGGGTTAGAGTTTGTTAGTAGAAACCTGGCCCAACCTGGGCAGAGCCTTGTGTTCAGTCCTTGGCATTACTGAAGAAACAGCACCATCATATTCCCAAAATGACAGCACAAAAGGATGAAGTCAAAATATAACTAATAAGCAAACTCATGCAGCTACCTAATGACATGCCTGCAAAGCACTAACAGAACAAGGAGACTCTGCTAGAAACAAGCAAAACAATTTATAGTTTAGGAAAACTATTCAAAAGGGTAGTTAGTATTTAGTACATCTTCAAAACCTGGCTCCAGGTCCAAAGGACAATGTCAGCCTGGGACACCCTGTTGTGTCAGAAAACACTAGGCCTATGCTCACAGATGAATGGAGATGTGGCTAGAAGACACGGACACTCACCACTGAGGGTCACACCATCTGGGGCCACACAGGCATCAGAGAAAAACGACAGTAATGGAATGGCAGCACAGAAAACAAAACCAAGCCCACAATCAGCAGTGACGCAGAGAGCAAAGCGGGAAGGGGAAGCTCTTGGTGGAGGAGTGCCAGGTGGTCAGAGTTCTCAGCAGCGCTCCATGTGTGGACAGACTCATTTTTTAGGGGTTGCTGAGTTTGTAGAGTAGAATGACATGGGCTGAGGAAATGTCTCAGCAATGCAGAGCACTCACTGATCTTACAGAAGACCTGGTTCCATTAATTGGTACAGAATTATTGAGATGGTAAAGCTAAAATTAAAACTAAATAAAGCTATTCATTGTAGTACTACATATAAAACTGTGAAACCATCAATTACAAGAAAAACTATAGTATACCATAAAACAGTTCCTAAGTCAGAAACTCAAATAACAAAACACTGACTATATAAAGAAACTGCTCAGGATATTTAAATTATAAAGTTATTAATTATGTGTATGTATTGTGTGCCTACAGAGTTTATGTGTACCACGTTCATGTAAGTAGCCAAGGCACTCAGAAGGTGTCAGAGTCCCTGGAACTGGAGTTACAGGCATTTGTGAAGCAATAGATGTAGGTGCTGAGCACTGACCCCGAGTCCTCTGTGGAAGTAGGATATGCTCTTAACCACTGAGCAATCTCTCAAGCCCTAGGAATAATACTCTTAAATGAAACTCTCTAATTTTTCAAGTCACCATGCTAAGCAATAATGTACTGGAATGATGATGAGGCAGGAGTAGAACAAAAATCAACGTTTAGCAAGCACCCACTGAGTACAATGGCACGTAAGAGTATACAAGCCCCCAATCCAGGCTGAAAAGCGAGCCATGTTAGTGAACACCTACTGTGGTGACAAACCGCATACGGAAGACTTCCAGAGACAAGGCATGTGCCTTTGGACAAGACCTGAATAGATAGCTACATACTATTCTAGAATTTTGGTCACTAGAAAATATCCAAATGGCCTCCTAAAAGCAGTCAGTAGAAAAGTTTATGTAGTATTTGGGCAATATTCTGAATACTTCTGTTGAAAACAAGATTTATATTTTACTGTGAGAAAAGTAAATGCTATGAAATGTTCATAAGTGGAAAGAACCACATAGACACAATAAACCAAAAAACCTGGAGTTAATTTCCATCAAAATAAAAACTGATGATAGAATGGTAGGTAATATAATTTTTACTTTCACTTTTTAAAATTAAAAATTAAGAAAGGGCCAGTAACATGAGTTACTGGGTAAAAGTATTGCCACCAAGCCTGACTCTCTGAGTTTGATTCCTAGAACCGACACAGTAACCAGAGAACCAATTCTAACAATCTATATGCACACACGCATACACGTGAGCACACACAAGATAAATGTTAAAAAATTACATAAGAACTTAGAAAATGGTAGACTTACCCTTGACTGTCTATATCTTCTGACCCCAGAGGTTTGGAATCAGAAAAAAGTGTCACTCTGCTGGAAGCCATCTTGGCATCGATACTGGCATGGGTGGAGATGAGGCTCTGGACCAGTTCATGTGTGGGGCCTGTTTCCTCCTGTCAAAGCCAGGGAAAATGTGCAAGTCAGGAAAGCACAAGGATTCTAGAGACATGCTGGTTTCATCATTTCTCAAATTACCCTAAATGCCAGAGATGGGCTAGAGACAGCTCAGCCGTTCTGACTGCATACTGCTCACACAGAAGGCCCGTGAGTTTAGTTTCCAGCACAGTGCCCACACCAAGAGGCTCACAGCTGCCTCTAACCCCAACACCATATAGATCTGACATCTCTGTCTCTGTGCCCACCTGGACACACACACACACACACACACACACACACACACACACGCATGTATACAAACGGACAGACACACAAGTAATAAATCTTTTTTAAAATTACCTTATAATTCTAAAAACCTTTCTCACTGTCTCAAGAGAGAAGAAACTTCTTGCAACATAGCTTAGACCTGATCCCCAACAATGTGAACACCTCTCAATTCACACAGCCCATCAGTCTGCTAACCTAAGCCCTTAGCTAGGAAAACCCCAGGTCTCCGCACTACAGTCAAGAATGATCTTAACCCAGTAAGATTACATTTCAAAACAAACCAAAATTCTAAGTCCCCTTCACTGCCAAGGCTCAGGGAACACCCTGGAATTTGGGGGAAAGAACATAAGCAGGAGGACAGGAACAATGCTCTGTAACACTGTCCTCTGTGTGCGGCACGGCCACTGTACTCATGAACTGACAGCAGCTGTCTGAGATCACACGGGAGTCTGTCAACATTTGCACTTGGGTTGAGGAGGGGTCCATCAGGCTCCATCCCTCCCTGAGGAGCAACTGACAGTTAATGTCTGCTGAGGGGGATTTGTTGTTGCTGTGTTTTAACGTGTAGCATGTAAGGATGTTTTGCCTGCATATCCTCATCTGTGCACAGCTTGCATGCCTTTACGCCTGCAGAGGCCAGAAGAGGGCGTCAGTTTCCCTGGAACTGGAGTAAAGGTCAGTTGTGAGCCACAGGTCCTCTGGAAGAGCAGGCAGTGCTCTTAACCTCTGTAGTTCACATCCAGTAAATAACTCCAAACCTACTGTCATGTAAACACCCTAATTAAACTCAGTGGGTCATTATAAAAAAGACATTCAGAGAAGAGCTTCAGCAGGAAGGGACAGGGGAGACAAGGGAAGGAAGCAAGTGTGAAAACTGCTAAAATCCACCATATCCATGCGGGAACTAGTCAGAGAAAGTTTGAAAGGAGGAGGACTTCCTGAGGTGTCCAGTAGAGTGTGAAGAGATGAGAGGGTAACTGGGGGTGACAATGAGCAAAACATAATATACACATTAATAAAACTGCCAAAGAAATTTTTCAAAAGAATAAAAGTACCTTAAATTTCTTACACTTACACAAACAACTGGCTTGAGCCGGGGGGGGAAGAGAAAGTTCAACAGGAAAAGGACGGAGGACAAACAACACAGGATTTTAATAAAACCTCAAGAAATCATTATTTTATATTTACATAAAGTTATAAAATACATACAAGTACATGTGTACATATCTTACACACACACACACACACACACACACACACACACACACACACACACGATGAGAGATCTTAAATGAAATATGCCACTTAGACTGACAATGTTCTTCACTAGAGACACAGACTATCTACAAAAACCCCAGCACCCAGCATGAAAAACTTCCACGTGAGTGGTTCTTCATCAAGGGAGTCCAGGTGACTCCCAAACAGTCCGGGCTATTACTGTTGCCCTTGGCTGCCTCTCAGAAGTTGAAGGTAAGTTCTTATTGCTGAAGACACCACAGACTTAGGACACAGAACCTAGAGGATTCAAGTTGGATCCCACCTGGAAGCTCCTTCCTGAGGTTTA